ATATGCCTGATAATAAAAACCCAAAATACCAAAGTCACAACCCCACTAATGAAAGGGGCAAAAGAATATGAAGCCAGCAGGTAGTGGAGATTATGGGTCGCTTTCGGGTATCATTGATCCCAAAGTCTTCACTGATGCAATCATGCATTATTTTAGTGTTATATGGAAGAAATGCATAGAAAAGGACCATGTCTCCCATTTTCTCTTCATGGGAAAACAACTCATCAAATATTCACATCACAGGAAATTAAGAATTTTTAAAAAAGCATCATCAAGCCAAATTGGAGGAGTATCAAACATGTGCAGCAGCTTAAATGTGCAACACCAAACACATTGCCCTTGTTCTAGGAAGTCGATTATTGGTGCTTTGCAGATTAGCAACCATGGTGCTGGTTGCTGTCCATGTGAATGGATTTATCATATCTTAGGGTTTGTTTGGGTTGTAGTCGGAATCGGAATCTAAATTGAAATTGGAATGGTCTATTTCCGTAAATTATTTGGTTCAGACAGGAATGGAAATGAAAATTTGAATGAACAGAAATGAAATATCATTCCCAAAGAAAGGACAGGGAATGATCATTCCCTCAAATGGAAGAATGTGAATAGGAATAGGATTCCAATTCTATTTAAATAGGGGTATTTCAATCACAAAAAAAGCCCACTATTCCATAGACTATAATGAAAATAGGTTCACTAGTCAAGTCAAGTGGAGAACTTCCTGCATGAACCCACCATTTTTTGCCACGTGAAATACATTAGGACAACTAAATTGCTCAAATGTACACTCCAACAGTCCAATCAACCATATTCCCACCTTATAATAATGGGTTCCACTATCATACTGGAAAAACATGATATTTAAACAATTTGTGATCAATCAATCAGTATCTTGAAAGTTTAAATAGAATAAATTAACATGCATTATTTAAAAAGTGGGCGGCCCAAAAAAGGTGAGAATGTGGTTGATATGCAAACTAATGTAAAAAAAAAAGGTATTTTATTCAATGAATCAGATGAGTTGTAACCAAAACAAGTGAGATGTGAATTCAAATTTTACACTTATGGAAAATATGAACTGATTCAGTGATCGATGAAAATTGGGACTGCAAGGTGTAAAATTCAATGAAATTATTTTATTGTGTGTTAAGAGAATTCATCCCTAAAAACTAGCTGTTAGAGGAAAGGAATCCAAACATATAAATACCCCACAAGAGCATTCCATACCATCGATGTAGCATACCTCACATTAACAATATTGGACAAATGAATCATAACATATTTATGAGTGTTTGAAATATTACATCACTGTAAATTTCCGATCCAACTAACTCCTATTGCCGTTAATTGAGTTATTGCCATATATTTCCAAGGTTACCAGGATGGGTCATAGCCGTTGAATGTTGACTCCGGTATCTTATGACCCCTACCCTCGTGGGGCCTAAACTGGCAGCAACTCTGAAATCTGTAACGCCCATTAACCAGGTTCATGTGAATTGGTTTAGCGGCATAGATGTAGCTTGTGGTAATTGCTTTTAAAACCATAAAGGTACACCTTTACTAAAGTGCCCATGTTTTAACAACAAAAGGCAATAAGTACCATTGGGCTTGCATGTTGCCACTGAAGCTCTCTGATACACATACCCGGTCTGGGACTGGTGGCATTTTGGATATTTTCTTGTAGAAAGACAGAAATACAATATTACAGAGACATCTCTGCCTTGTCAAAAGATGAGGCATCCTTGGATGATCAACTTTAATTAGCTAGCTAGGAAGATCAAGAGAACTTTCCAATTTCTATCCGGAAAAGGCAAACAACAAAAACCAAATTATAATATTTTTCTTTATATTAGAGATTAGATTAGCAAATTTTTAGCTTTCTTCGTTTGAAAAATAAAAACCAGTTTAACAAGGATGCTTGCTGATGAAGGAAAATTTGGCCCGACTTCGCAAATTACGGTACGTGGCAAAAAAGGCAAGTAGCTCGGCACTCAAGACAGCATACCAAAGGTACAAACGCCAAAGGGAAGGGAGCAAGAGGCCCGAGCTCCCTACTTAGCTCGAACTCCCTACTTAGAGTTCGAACTCCCTAGCAAGAGGCCCGAACTCCCTACTTAGTGATCAAACTCCCTAGCAAGAGGCCCAAGTTCCCTACTTAGAACTCGAACTCCCTAGCAAGAGGCCCGAGCTCCCTACTCAGTGCCCAAGCTCCCTATTTAGAGTTCGAACTCCCTAGCAAGAGGCCTGAACTCCCTACTTAGTGATCGGACTCCCTGCGAGGAGCCCGAACTCTCCCCTTTTGACCCCGTCACACAAAGCAGGGACCCGAACTGGCCCGCCTTATGACAGTTCGGGGCCTCCCCTTATCCGAACTCAAGACTTGGCCTCACGCACCGCTCCAGGCACTTCGCTCCCGGAGCATTGAACTAGACG